TGTTTTGTGAATCTTTTAATGTGAGCTGTGGAGAATAAGGACCAAGTAACTGTGTTATATGTTTACAAAGGTATTTATTTAACTAAGATAACAGAGGTGCAGATATCAGTATACAAAACCACCTGAAGATGCCCTGTTGCTCAGTACAGCAAAACATGAAAAATGCATGTACTGTTGTGACTTCACAAAGCATAAATATTCCTCTCTACCCTCTTCTCATAAGACAGTCTTTCTGTCCTTGCTGTTCAAAGATTGTTAGATATCCCTCTGTTCTGTTGCTGCTCTGAGCGCTAGCTTGGTGCCACTGGAGAATGTAACTGGATTGACCAAATAACCCAAGTTCAGAGGAACTCACCTGAAAATAGCCAGAGCCAGGTTCTTAGCCAGTTCTGATTTCTCCCTGGAAAATTCAGCCTGTCCTCACTATGGTATATGGGATGCATTGACAGAAATTAAAGCCTGAAGCACAATGTACTAATCCAAACTGATCATCTGCATTTCTAAATAAAAGTGTATCAGTATATAATCTTATTGTATGAGCTGTAATGTTGAAAGCATATTAGCTTAAAACAGCTTAGTTTCTTCTATGATTGTTGTAACCAGTTTATGGCTACTCGGTGGATGAATCTATATTGTGATATCTATTTGACCCTAATAAAGTTATTGCATACAATGCATGTTTTCAGAGTATGATAATATTAAAATGTCACTGCAAAATAACTAAGAAGATGGATAGAATATTATCTCTGTGCTTGACCTTATTGGTCATATTCTCACTGTTTTCCAACACCTTTATGAGGTTTGTTTTAATGTTTAGTGGAGTACAACACTTCTACAGATGCTTGTCATTAAAGGTCACTATCACAAGTTTAAACAAAAATTAAACTGCAATTTAATATCTGCCCACCTCTATGCCTCTCTTTCCATCCGTCAGTAGGACTAGCCCTGTGCTGTGCTAACTGCACCAGTTCTGTGGATTGCTGGAAAAGCCGTTTTTCAACCCGAAGAAAAGACAAACTTGAGTAACTAAATGTCCTTGTATTCCAAATGGGATCAAAATCCAATTTTCTGGGTCAGTGAAAAAATTTATTTTGGCTTTCTGTTCTTTTGTTCCTTCATTTTTAAGTTTGGAAAAAGTTAAATATAGGCAAGTGAAAAGAAATTGAAATCTGTGCTTGTGGGGAGGGATGGGAATGCGCTGCAAGCTCTTCACATCATCCTACTTCCCCTCAAATCATTTTATTTTTTTTAATCCACTTTGTATTTGTTGATCAGGACTATTGTAAACTGTGTACTCAACGCCTCTCTCTTAGAAGTAGAGGAGTACGCTTTTTGTGTGATCCAAATTTTTCTTCATCAGCTTTCCCACCTAGGTGATTAGGGTCCCATTTCCAAACTTTTCTATGCTGAGTGTCAGAAACTTGAGTTTTGCTGAGGTTTGTTCCTGCGTTTCCAACAAGCTGAAATTCTTGTGTGACCATGTGAGCACAGGAACTGCAGTGTAAGACCAGAAGTGTGAGACGTTGATTTATTTTGGGTATTACTTGTGTAACTCCTAATCTGAGCAAAGATTGCCTCAAGAAGGGCAGAACTGGTGCTACAGTTGACAAGAGTAGTAAAAAAGGTCCATGTTTTCATGGAAGATTTGCCTTTTGCTTTACTGATTGGCCACAGGTACACTATTACCTTGCTGCCACGCAGAACAGATGAGCTGGTGGTTGTCCGATAAATCCTTCAGGGACTAGTCTTCACTGTGAATTAGAAGGGATGGAAAATCTCTTCATCTACAGCTTTTCAGATTAATATACTCTGGCAGTAGCACAAGTGAAAACAAAAATGATACATGTACTTGTCTGTGTTACATAAGAAAATGTTTCTGAATGCTTCCTCTGTGTTCATCTGGATTCAAGTCTTATCACATCCTTTGGCAATCGCTGAGGAATTGGAAGTTTATTTGAACTGGGAATAGTGACTGTACAGCAGAATGTCAAGCAGCAAGACAGCAAAGACTTTATTTGATGTATCCTGGTTTTAAGACAAATAGCTAAGTAAACTCTAGCATCCTCTGTGAAACTGCTGCTGGCAGACCGATTGCTTTTCTTCTCCATCATTAGTGAGTATCTCTGCCAGTTAGTTAAGTAACTAGGTCAGCCTGGAAAAAAAAAATAATATGTTACTTGAGCTTCTGTGCTGTCCCTCCTGTTTTCCCATGTGTTTCTCTTTATAGCCCATTTCTCAGTCACCCTGGATGGGAGCATATTTGCTTTATCAAGTGTAGCACTGAGGAGGAGAGGCAGGTACCTCTATGAGCACAGCAGGGAGGTGGGAGCACAGGACTTTCTCTCTGTGTGCCTCCCAGCCCAGCAAGAGGTATGCTCACGTCTTGTTTGGGGATTTCCCCATTGCTCTTGACTGGGGAGGGAAGGATGTTGCAGAGCTGCAGCCTCATCCCCTCTGTGGGATGAGGAGAGGGACTGGAGAGAGCAGAGACCATGACTTTGGGTACCAGCTGCCTCTGCTGGCTGCTTTGCTCCCTTTTTGCAGATCAAAATCTGCATGTATGTGAACGGATGGGCTACTTACCTTATGCTCTCCTTGGCTTAGCTATTCTTTTCCAGGATTACTTTCTATTCCCTCTTGCTACTAAACCCAAGAGCTTCTCCTCCTGGAACTTTTTAAGAGCAGCAACAATCTGTGTTTCAATATTAATATCTGGTGCCAATTGTCCCATCATCCATCAGTGCATACATCCTTAGTGTGAAGATTTGGATTTTGTTAGCATTTTGCTATAATATTTTAGTAGTTGAGCAGGGGGAGCATCCCTTTTGTCGCATTTAGCAACCGGTTTCTTTTCTTACATTTTTATTGTTGTGTCTTTCTTTAATAAGATTTTCCATTTTTAATGAGTAGAGCTGCCTTTTTAAAGTCTAATCGTCCTTTAGTAAAATGTGTCTCAGAGGGAAGGTTATTTGGTAATAATATTTTCAGACTTCACACTGAAAATGAATGCCATACCAAAATGGTTGGGATCGTGCCTTATATCTTTTTCATGTTAGATCTTCAGAGGCAGCGAGGGAGCTGGTTGCCTGCATGTCAAGGACCCCCATGGCCTCTGAGCTCCCCGGCAGCCCCACGGGAAGCATGAGCAGATTTTGGCCTGTGCTATGCGCCACGTCTGAGAAGTGCCTGGGCGTGTGATGACAAACGATGTTTCCCTGCAGACAGCCTGCTTCTAATAGCTTTTCTTAAATGGCATTTTACCTGCTCTGCCTCAGCAGTGGGATTCATTAACATTTTATTCTTTCGTGGCCCCAGAGCTCGACCCCAGGCTGAGCGCCACACACCATCTCCTGTGCATGGTGGGGAGATGGGCTGAGGTGTCCGTGCCTCCTGGATGGGGACCTCTCCTTGGTCAGTCCTAGGTTCAGGTTTTGCACAGGCTTGCGTTTTGTTTTCTTCTGGATGCTTAGCAGCATGTGAGCTCAATAAAGGCGATCAGGAAGCCTCAGCAGGAGGCTGGTGTCAGCTTTACTCTCCTTCTGTTGGGCTGCCTTTTTTGTTTCCCTCTAGAGACAAAGTGTCCTTGTCTCCAGGTAAAGGCTCCACCTGGAAAAGTCCCCAGAGCAGGCTGCCGTGGTCCCACAGCCACCACAGTGCTAGGATTGAGCCCATGGAGCACCGGATGGTCCTGGCTCAGCCTGCACATTGAGACCTGGGGGCATCACGTGGGGGCTTCCCATTCCTCACCCTTTGGGGGAAAAAATTAACATCAGGTAAGATCAAAATGACCACGTTCTGCTCACAAAGAAATCAGGCTGTTAGCACCCTGGGTGCAAGTTAGCAACGCTTCTCCTGCAGCTCCTGGAGTGTCTCTGCAGCTTTGGGCACTCCCTTGTGCCACCGCCCCTGCCCCAGCATGGGCAAGCTCACACCTGCCTCTGGCCGCTGTTGTAGGGGCATCACTAAGGGAGCCAGGACTCCGTGCACACAAGTGTTTTGCAACATAAACTGTCCTGAATGGCAGAAAGTTCTTAGAAGGGATGGGAAAACTCTGGGAAAGTACCAAAAAGGAAGGGGAGGCAGAGGCTTTCTGCAGCGCTTGCAAAATCTGAACTGAACTGCATGTAAAGATTGTGTAGCCGTAAGCATCAGGTTGCATATTTTGTGCAGACAATATTGTTAATGTGTGAAATGTGCTAAAAATTGCCTGATAGAAGCACCTGGATATCTCAAACATAAATAGAGTGGATCAAAATAGATACAGAACAGATGGCCCCGCTCCCTCACACCTTGCTGACCAGAATACTGCACCAACACACACAGCCAAAATCTTGCTGTCTTCAAAGCTGATCAACGCTTGCAAAAGCAAGGGTTATCCTTGTGCTACCCTGTGCCTGTAATGCACTAACGCTCCTGTGTACACTAATTAATACATCCTAAAGAGATAAAGTTTCCCAGGCTTGCCTGGGCTTGCTAATGCCCCAGCAAAGGAAATCATCTGCTCTGGAGAACAGGCTCCCAAAAGTCAGTTCAATTTAAAAAAAAAAAAAAAAAAAAAAAGATTAAAATTGAGCTGAAATCTGATCTGCGATGGAAATTGCCCAAAGCCCAGGGAGCTGGCTCTGCTCAGCAGCTCCCAGCACCGCCTGGAGCTGATAACCACGCAACAGGGGCTGTTCCTCGCTCTCGTTTTTACCTCGGATGCTGAGACCAAACACCACCAGGATGGATTAACCAGGATGTAAGGCTTTTTCATGCCTTCTTGTATGGTTCAACAGATGTAAAAGGGAATTATCACTTCAACGTGGTATCAAGACTTTTTTTTTTTAAGAGCTTATGGCAGATTACTAAGCCTGAATTCTTGTTTAATTTTAGTGTGTTAATTGATGGGATAATGAGCATTGATTATATGTGTTTTGGCTGCGTCATTGCAATTATAGGCTCTGTTTTATTCATGAGCCAGTCCTAAAGAACGCACTAGAGATCTAAGACAGCTTAAACCTCTCAGAAAAAGGCTCTGAATTGTTTGAGTAATGACACTCTTAGATGGAAAATTAAAGGTTCTCTTTTCCCATGCTTTTTAAGATAATTAAAATCCAGGAACAGTAAGGTGGTGAACATCCTTATTCATTAGCCTTCAGTAATTTAGCTTCTACTAAACGAGGAAAACATTTTAATTCTCTAGGCCATCTGTTGCAGTCTCCTTTGCGTGTCCTGTTACATAAAGTCTCATTCTGGGAAGTCTTGACATCGCCTTGTATCCTTTCCCCAGGAAGGATGTGCTGGATGAGGTAGCTGAAGCCACCACCTTTTAACAGCCCCCCCAGGATGAAAATAGCCGCTCAGTCCTTTAGATCACTGTCACCCTGTCTGGACACCCCTCGGCAAAGGATGCGCGGCAAGAACGTGCCCAGAGACGGGCAGCGTGACAAGCTGTGTGTTTTCTGGTAGCGATATCCATGCCAACAAATAACAAAGTTCATCAGAGCCCTTCCAGTTCCTCCACTTCGCGGCTGCTCTGCCAGATGGCTCGGTGCTGCTTTTGGAGGCAGGCAGTGTCTGCTCGGGTAAAAACCCAAGCCAAGGCGTGGTGCTGGGCGCTGCCGTGCTAGTAGCTGGGGCACCAGCAGAGCTCTTTGTGCTGCTGTCCTAGGATGATGCTGGGTCAGGATTTGGGAGACACCTGGTTTCCGACTCTGCCTAAAGGAGCAGCTCTCTTCATAGCCTGGGGCAAGTTACTTTATCCCACACCAGGAAGGCTTCTGATTAAAATGATAATGGGTGCTGCTTTGGTGGCTGAGTTAGTCCTGGTACAACATTACATCCCACAGATGTAAGGGGATTCAGGCCCCATCCGAGTCTGGTTTGTTTCTATTAAGTTCTCACAGAAAATAAAGAGCAACTCTACCTGCCAACGTCACAGGGGCCGTTCAGACCCACGTACTTGCTGGTCCCGTGACCAGCAGGTAGCACTTACATTATTGATGGGGCACGGCTGCAGGCAGGCTGCTCGCACGGGGCAGAGCCTGAATCCACCTGTTTGCTGTTACTCCAGTTGCTTAGAGATCACAAACAGCCTGCCCTCACGATGTGTGGCTGCAAGGCCAGCGTCCCCAGCACAAAGCACTACTCCGTCAATCCTGCCTCCCCCCAGAAGAGCCCTCCAGCCGCGGCAGGGATGTCCAAGCGGTAAGTGACTGCTCTGCTCTTTGCATCTCTGGTGATTTGTTTGTGAAAGGCTTTATCTGGATCTATTTATCTGCAAAAATGTTATATTTATTATCAATGTCTGCTCCCAAGTGGGAGCACCCTTGGGCAGGGGACGGCAAAGCCCTCTGAGCCCTGGGGACGGGCTCAAAACCGAGGAACTTCTTCAGAACATGAAAGAGCTCCAGGAAGAGACTTACCGCAGGCTGCAGTGCCTCTCTCCAGTGATCAAGTTATTTAATTATCATCTCTAATAAAAACTCCAGGCTACTTGCTTAGGTTAAGAACTGGGAGCTGTGTGATGTTGTGTGCCGCTTGTGAGGGATGTTGATCTTCCTGCTGTGAAGGAAAGACAGTCTCCTTTGGGAAGCCCCAGGTTTCTGGGGGATTAAATAAAATAAAAGTGAGGAAGCTTATTATGGAGAAACTATATGCTTGCTCAATTCACCAGGTGATAACTGTGTGTCCTTTCTCTCTCCCTACCAGCATGCCTATAGCCAAGCAGCTGGCATCAATAAAAGGTAAGGGGACCTCACTGCCCCTGGATGCCCCAGCATTCATCCATGTCCCTTCTGCTCGTCTTTCCCTTAAAATCACAGCCCAAACCACCTCTGGTACCTGCTGGGAACTGTGGGCTGGGAAACTAAGGTCTTTAGGATGTGGTTTAGGAGGGGATGAACCCAGCCAAATATTTCAGCCCAAATCCTGAACACACTTCAACACTGGTGTGCAGCTCTGTCGCTGATACTCAGACATGGGCACATCTATTGGGCCACATTTCCCCTGCTGGAAGGCCCTGGGGGTCCCCACGCACCCAGGAGGTGTCTGGAGTGGCCTGTCCCCATGGTGCAGCTCGTCCCCAGGAGGGGACAACCAGGCAGGTCTCACCCCCAACCCTGTGTCCCTGCCGGCTCCCACCCTGGCCATGTGAAACCTGCCTTCAGGTGTGTTTCCACGGGACAGGAGGTGTGTTGCTGGCCCACTCCAAATAAAATCTAGGCCAGGTCCTCTGTGGGTACAAACAGTTTCAGGCTTATTAACTTTAATGGAACTACACTGATTTCCACCCACTCAGGATGTTTCTGACACATTCCTTTCAATTATACCTCAAACACTGCTTTTTCTGATAGGCTGGCAACATTTTTCCCCCTAGCTCTAGAAAAAGGCTCAGACCTTGAAAAAGCTGTTGCTACTGCTGCGCTGGTGTATAACAACGCTGCTGACCCTGAGGGCAAACTCAGCAAAGCTGAAACCAAAAACCTGCTGCAGACCCAGTTTTTGAGTTTCATACAGGTAAGAGTTTGGGTGAGCGGGCATCTCGGGCTCTGTCTCACTGCTGTGTGTGCATCCATCCACAGGGTGATCCTAGGTGAGGAGCTGGTGAATTGGTAAAAATGCCTTTGGTGAATTAGTTGCTTAGTGCTGAGCCTGTGTCTGGTGTGGGGCTAAAAAGGAGCATCAGCAATAAACCACTGTTGACGTGCCTGTTTGTATTGTTGTTGAAAAAGGAGGGCAGTTGTAAGCAAACAAAGAAAAAAAAGCTCATATAATGACAAGTATTTGTGTGTTTATGGGATAAGAAACCCATCGCATTTAATTAGGGATTTGGGAGTTTGCCAGAGTGCTGACCCTGTGCTACAGAGCCATGAGTACCTCGCCATCCATCGCCCTCCCTCCAGTAAAACCAGCAGCCAGCTGTGGTGGAAAACCAGCTACATAAGTAGTGGTGGCTGCAAACTTCTTGCATTTTTTTTCTCTCTTTCTAACCCAAAGGAGAACAGGAGTTTTATCAAGTGGTAGGAATGCTGCAGTTACCAGCTGCATGCATCACTACCAGATTTGCAGTCGTGATTAGGTATCTTCTCGAAGACATATTCTGGATCCAGGAAACTTTGGGGACTAGTTGTTTTCCTGTCTGATTACAATAATATTTCTGTTTGAGTTTCTTGGGATAACTTTAGAAAAACTAATATGCATGTGAACATAAAACCCTGAATAGGAAGATATGAAACAAAAAATGCTGCTGCTTCTTTTTTCTTTACAGATGATACAATAAAAAAGGAATGTAACATCTTTTTTTTTTTTTTTTTTTTCCCCTCCATTTAAAATTCTCCATAGGGCCAAGAAAACAAACCAAAATACCAGGAAGTAATCTCTTCCCTGGATGAGGAGACAGAGAACAAAATTGACTTTGAAGATTTCATGATCTTGCTGGTCAGTCTCGCTCTAATGTCTGACCTGCTGCAGGAGATCAAAAACATGAAAACCACCAAATGACCAGTGCTTTAAAAGAAGAAATAGCTTTGCACTTTACAAGGAAAGCGGGAGTGAAACACGCACAGAGATAACACTGAGTGCCTGAATCCCCTCTGCTGTTCCCTTTCAAATGGAATAAAGTCTTGTCCAAACCCTCCCGACCTCACTTCTGTGCAGAGAAAGTGCCTGAGGGCGGTGTCCTGGCAGGAATGGATGTGAAATAGGGCCGAGGGCTTTGTGTCTGTCCCAGGGGGCTGAGCCTGGGGCCAGCTCTTGCCCTGCAGCCCCCAGGGAGGTCGGTGGAGCAGCACCCCTGGTGGGTTTGCCGCTGCCACCTGTGGGGCAATCTGCTGCAGCCTTCAGTAAGAATTGAGTTTGGTCTGTCTGCTTTTCAACTAAGCCTTCTGAATGGAGCTTTATTTATTTATTTGTATTTCCTCCTCCAGCTGGCCTGTTCAGTGAGTGATCACTGCGGAAGGAATTTCAAGTCCAGCCTTTGCAATGCGTCCTTGGCAGAGGTGTGCTCACGTGAACAGAGTTGGTTCAAAGAGTCAGTCAGCTGGGCCCGTTATTTTCTGAAAATGTGAAGAGGAGAGAGCAGATAAGGTCAGGACCAGGGGAGGTGGGAAAAGGGCAGCTAATGAAGTGCAGGTGTTGGAACTGGGTGGGATCCACCACCCTGCTTGGTTAGGGCCAGGGCCTCGGTGCCAAATGCTCATCATCCTCATGTTTGTTTTGGTTCCTTCCTATAAGGTCCTGGCTCACAGCCAGCATTTAGCCCCCTGTAATAGTACTCTGGGGCACAAAAAGCATTCTCATACCCCAGTAACAGAGCATCCTCGGTAAGAATTTAGCAAGCCTCTGGGCAAACCGACAAAATAGTGCAACTCCTTTCCTTTTCTCCTCTCCCTTGCTGGAAAAGGTGACATTGATTTAGCTTTGGTACATAAAAATATATATAAAACAGGATGGGATGAAAACCTTTGGTGCTAAAAGAGGGAAATTAATGTTAGCTGAGTAACCAGATTTAACTCCTTGGCATGAAAAGGTTCTTAGTGTTTCCAGAAATGAAGAGGATGTTTTGCATTGGATTTTGGTCAAGCTGTGGTAAGAGGACAGCAGCCAGCTGTTTGGAGAGAACAGGTCTGTGTCTTTCTGCAGCTTGGGAAGGAGCTGGAAGAAGTGATGTGAATGGGTTTGGGGATGGAGCTCAGCAGGGAAGGGGCTGGTCCCAGAGCAAGGGCCTGGCCTGACCTGGAGGCTAAATATTCACAGATCAAAGCAAGGCCTAATTCTGGTATCTTCATCCATGTGGGCATCAGAGCTTTGTACAGTTAATGTGTCCCCAGTCTCTTCCCCCAGCCCCTTGCTTTTTGCCCAGGCAGAAGATCTGTGGAAGCTTACAGAATAAGCAGATGCTCCTTCTCCAGGGTAGAAAGATTGAATGCAAGAGTCCCTAGAAGGCTTTTCCCATTACCAAAGTAAAGAAATCGTGGCATAGCCCTGAAAAGCTTGTTTGAGAGCCACTGATGACTTTGAAAACATGAATTTATTAATATCCCTCTGTTACAACAAAAAGGCAAAAGGAACAATATTGTGAAGCCAATTAAGAAAGTGTTCTCTGAAATCGCTAAGGTCCTAACACAGTTTCTGTTATTGCTGAAACATTTCTTAATCTTGCGTGACTTGAATTAATGACTTCAGAGCCTTTTGTCAGATAAATTCACTCTGTCAGCTCGCCATGTGCAAACCCTTCGTATTCTAATGCACTCCCTGTTGTGCACTAGCATCCAGAGTGCCTGGCTTCCATCAAACGCCTATTGTGCACAGCACAGCACAAATCCAGAGTAAGAAGTAAGTCCTCAACAGCATAGATATTGAAAGGGTAGGGAAAGAATCAGAGATGCAGAGAAACCAGTGTGTGTTCAGTGCGTGTAGCAGAGCTGGAACTGGGTGCCAGTCCGCACTGGGCTTCCCACACCAGCCTGGCTGGAAGAGCTTCTGAAGGAAGGGAATGGGATGTGCAAGGCTTGATCCACACCTGCCCTTGACAGTCCTGCCTGATGCTCAAAAGCAGGGGCATGCACTTGGAAGAGCCCCAGCATCTTCTTACAGGTAGGAGTAGGCAGAAGTTTGCAACTCGGCTGCGGAAGGTGCTCTTTTATTAGCACAGACTATTTGTGGCTGCCCCGAGCACTCTCAGCTGACGGCTTTGAAGCTGATCTGGTGTAGACAGCATGTCTGCCTTCATCCTTGGGGAGCTGGCTAAAAGCTTGCTTAAAAGGCTACTGTTGTGCTTTATTTTGTTCCTAGCTCACTCCTATTGGAAGCGATGGGAGCTCATCATCGATTTCTCATAGCAGAGCCCACGCAAGTGCTCAGGAGACGAGCAGGCAGCTAAATTGATGAAAACTACAGACTCTTCTGTAAGTGTGAACATCGTATCAATATCTGATCCCGCTCCTAGAAGTGAAGGCAGCATGAAGCAGCTAGTCAAAACCTGACCTCTGTGGGCCTGGGCTGGGATTTTTACAGCTGTACTGCTCAGGTGGGCTCTGCAGGCTTTGGATCTGTGTCTCAAGGTCTGTTCGGAGAAGCCTGAGTCATCTCTGCAGGTCTGTGAGCTTTCAGATGACTGCCAGAGGAGAAATGGGGGTCAGGAGGGCTGGGCTGAAAGCTTCAGCCTCAGATCTTCTGAGCTTCTCAGAAGCTTCTGGTTCCAGCTGTTGTCTCAGAGAGGCAGCTCCATTCTTGTACTCTGATTAGCTCACCTAGAGCTACTGCTTCTCCCCATGAGGCTTACTTTGTATCTGGCTTTAGTACAGCCTGCTGGACTTGGAAGGTTTTGAAAATCTGCTTTAGCCGAACCACTGAGGCACTCTCCCAGGGTGCAGGGGAGCTCTCACAGCCCAGCCCGCTGACTTTCGCGGGGTGAAGCACAGCAGAGGGTTGCACGGGGAGCTTTCTGCCAGGACCCTGAGGCCACACGCACTGTGCCAGCAAATTTTCATAAAACTTTTAGGAAAGAGAAATATGTTCCCCAAAGGGCTCGCTGTTATTGTACCTTCAGTAAGGCCTTCTGTCCAGGACCTGAAACCTTGCCTGCTGAGGGACATGTTGCTCCAACTCTTCTCCCCTCAAAGCGTTGTGTTACTTTTTTATGTAAAACAAAACTTGTCTGGGTTGCACGTCCCCAGCTGGGTCTAGTTGTGTGCCCACAAAAGCACCTTGCCAGCTGCCTGCCACGCGCGCTCCTGCCGTGATTTCCACAGGTCACTGTGGAGGGGGCTCAGGTTTGCATGTCAGCCTACCAAGACAGCAGTTATCTCCTCTTCAGGAGTGCTGCCCTGACTCAGAGAGGTGCTACGTGGTGCATACCCTCGGGAGCTCGCTTCAGAGCGGATGGAAAGCTTTGTCTTGGAATTACGTTCCTTCCGAAGTGCTATGGTTTGTGAGCCACAAAGGAGCACTCTGAAATGCCTTCTGGAAAAAAGAAAAGCTCTTTGTTTCAGGCTCAGTGAGGGAAGCTAGATAAAGAAGAAATGGTGTGGTTTTTTATGGCTTGCTGAACTGACAGCTTTTAATTCCTGCGCTGACTTTTACTGCAGCCAGTGCTTTACAAGGTTTCCAGCAGAGCTACGTCTCCTCTCCTCTCCTTGCTCATCTGCTGCTCCCTCACCCTCCGAGTGTTTATAGCCCTGGTCCCGAGTCCTCCTCCAGCAAAGGTAAACAGCAAATGATGCTCAGCAGCCAGATATATCGGGCTGTCTCTCCAATCCCCAACTGCACAAATCAGCCATTAGATTTAGATAGATTCAAAGCCATGGGACTTATCTTTTATTCATTATTATTGTAGGAGTGAGTTTATGTTATGTGTAGCCATAAAAAGTGCCAGCCTCAACCTCCCAGGCATACCGAGGGGGTGAAACCATGCTCCCCCAAACTGAACCAAGTCCAGAGTTGGGTGTCTGTAGCAGAGGCTGGTTGTGCACAGCTGGAGCAGTGCCTCATTCGTTGTTCTTCCTTTCTTTCCCCTTCACCCTTGATCTGGCTTTCTCAGCTGCTATGTGCTGGATTTTGATGGTCAGAGCTACACAAGGCACAGCACACGCTCCTGTGAAGCTGCTGAAATCGATGAGGCCAGGACCTCTCACTGGAGGAAAACCGCTCCTCAGGTGGGATGGTTTTCAACCCTCCAGTAAAACCAGCAGTTGAATAAATGCAGAAGTTCATCAGCGGGCAAAACCAAGCCCGTGTTTATCCTGAATGATCAATAAATGACATCTCAGGACCTCAAGAGCTTCCCCACCCTCGCAACCCACCGAAAACGAGCAGCCTCTGGGCACCCTGCTGTCACCAGAGCAAAAGAGAACAAGTGTCACGGTAAGTGATCCTTAGTAGAAGTCTTGCCTTACTGCATATGATTACTGCGAGGCTCAATAAGTGTTAGTCAGTGTTACAGAACAATCTCTGAACTCCTTGAAAAGGCAGCTAAGGCCAGCATAGCTTTTTTGTCTGGATAGGTCGACATACACCAGCCCTCTTGAGTCTGTAAAGCAAAGCTGGGTACTGCTGGAGATGAACCAAATATTCCTTCAGTGGGAACAAGGAAAAAGATCTACAGCCCAGCCCTGAGACCTTTCATTCTCCTCCAGCAGTGGGCAGGAGCCCTCCAGTCTTTTCTCTGTTTCCTTTTTACAGGAGTACAAGCATGGTTTGTTTTGATACTGGGGAAAGTCTGTGTCCAAAGCTGACCTATTTCCCGCATCTGCTGGTGGATTATCCTTGAGCTAGTTGTTCTGTGCTTGGGTCCAGCCTCCACCTGATGCTCTTCTGGGGTTTATTTGGAAACCACATGTACTTACAGAGACACATGGGTTAGGCTTTAGATGAGAGAGTTTGTTTCTTGAGAGCTGCAAATACTGCTGTGCTTGACAGGTATGAAAACCACGTCAGGGACAGACCACCGGAGGTGGAACATCCCCTTTCCTCTGACACTGCAGTTGGTGTCACCATTTCCTTGGGTTTGTGCCTGGCTAGAAGGATTTTATAGGGCTTTGTCTAATTAATTAAAGAAAACAAATTGCAAAATTACCTTCTTATTAAACTGCTCTCACTACGGAAATAAGGCTGATTACTTCCTTGACAAACTTTAATTAGGCAGCTACAACAAGCTGTAATAAAGAGCACAAATTAAAAAGAGATCATATTAAAGGTGGCTTTGTCAAATCCTGTATTAATGCTGGGCAACACACACAGTGATTAAATGATATGGAGAAGCTCCTCTTTCCTACCCTGGTAAAAATCTATCATATTCCTGGAGGAAGAACAGTTTATATAAAAACATCACATTAATAGCCAACTCATCAATGAGCGTTTAGCAGCAGTTTCTTTCCATCAGCACCTCTTAACTTGCATTTTTTTGAGACTCAGCCTTTACAATGTTCTTTATCTTTATCTTTTCTCTAAATTTATGCTTGTACTACACATGACCCAAGGGTACTGCAAAGCCTCTGAGAAATAGAGAAGCTTTATTACCTGCGCATTTATTCCCCAATTTGTCTTTCCTCTTCTGGTATTTTAGTGCTTGGATTCAGCTCAGCTGAAAACAGAACGCAATTTGAGAGCAATTTGCATAAGAATTGTAAGCAGAGGCCCACACAAATTAGGCATTAATTAATGAGCACCTAAAGCCTTCTGCTGAATGCACCCTGAGGAGAAGCAATGCTGAGAGTGCTCAAGTATACGTAAGGGAAAGAGCAGGTAAGCATATCAATAGAACGAGCAATGCTTAATTCTTCTCTAATATTTATTGTAGCCCTTGGGAGCAGAAGAGAGCTGAGGCTCTTTGCCCCCTAGAGCATGGCAGGAGCTGCCCCTGCAGCAGACCTGGGTCAGGAGGAAAGCTCGGTGTGTTTCAGGGAGCAGCTGGGAAGCTGGGCTGGGCTGGGCTGGGCTGGATGTTGGAGGCTGTGGTGTGGCAGAGGTGGTGCCCTGAGACATCGGAAGTGTGCTGGAGGAGTCAGGTCTCTGCTGCCCAGTGTGGGATCTGGGGGGGTTACCCCCTATGGGGTAACCTCTGCTGCTGGTCCCTTCCTGCTGCTCTATGTGACACAGCTTCCCCCGGTCTGCCGGGTGCTGAAGCCAACAGGTCTCTGCACCCTGGCTCCTATCCCAGAGCTCTCTTGAAATCCAGTATTGTGCTAGTCATTCCTCATGCCTATGGTGTTGATCTCAGTGAGAGCAGGGGCATCCATCAGCAGCAGTTGTGAAATATGCTCTTCTGTTTGTTTGTGAGCTGAGGACTAGTTTCTTTGTGATAAGAGTGTAAAGAATACAAACCCATTCATTTTCCTAACTTAGTTTCGTCTTCTCTCCTTCCCTGCTAGTTAGAATCCAAAAGACATCAAATATTTAATGAAGGATGTTTTCTGATGTGTTGTTTGTTCAGAAACTCCTCCACCTTAGAGTCCATAAATTTATAGGGAGAATAATGAGGAAGGGGGCCCTGCTGACAACAGAGACTTGCTGCTTTGCCTTTTTTTTTTTTTTTTTCTTCTGTAATACACTGCTGCATTGTAACTGCATCTCCCTGAAGGTAATTACCACAGAAGCCATCAGCTCACTCTCAAGAGATGCCTGTTCACAGGTGTGCATGGTGGGAGCCCAGCCCTGCCTTCCACGTGATGTGCACACAAGTGAGCTCTGAAACGCTGCTCTGAAATCAGGTCTCTCAATTACTCATTAGTTAATGGCTCCTTGGGGAGGGATGGGCTGGGACTGGGGAACCTGTCTAGCGATACAGGACCAAAACCATAAAGGTTTTATGTGAATTACAAGAACAGAGGCTGCTGGTGCTGCACTATTAGCCCAGCCACCTCCTAGCTCCCAGTGCTGTGCTGGTAGGTGTTTGCCTGTGTTCATGGTGCAGGCTGCAGACCCTCCCCAGTGCCCACAACCTGGGACAGCTGTCCCACAGCACACGTACCACCCCGTTTACAAGCCTCCATGCATGTCAGAGCCCAGCTCCTGGCTATCTGTGACCGTGGTGCTTGGGGAGCCCACCTGCCCAGACCTTGGCCCATCCACTCCCTTGTGTGCCTGCTGGTCAAAGTAGTCAAAGTGAAGCTGCACAGAATACTTAAGCTCTTTTCCAACTTTTTTTTTTCTCTGCTTTACTGCAGGGCTCTTAATTTGATGAATTCATGTAAGACATGCTAATGTAGCAGTAAAGACAGCAGGCAAAGCTCTGTCTGCTGATCCCAGACACAACAGACTTCAGCTGCACCGCTGAGCATGGTGCATGCTGATACCACTTAAAAACTGCCATAAAGAGAACAGCAGTGTCTGTGTCTCTGAAGAAGGAGATCGTGGCTTTTCAGTTCTCTTCTCCCCCTGTGAAAGGACTGCGAGCAGTTGTCTGTGCGACAGGAGAAGGCTGTGGGGCTCTGCTCCCAGGTGCTGAGGGCAGGCGTGTGTCCTACCCACGGGTACGGACGGGTCCCCCGCTTGGTGCCAGGCTCTTTCATGCCTGAGGATATCGGGGTTGATGCTGTGTGTCTGCAGCTCAGTACAATACAGCCACTGCAGTGTATACTTTGTGTGAAGTGTAGCAAAAAAAAAAAAAAAGGCTGAGACCACTTCTGACAGCACCACAGAGTCTATGTCAGGCAGAGGTGATGGATATAGAGAAATGTTGCAGCAACTATGGTTATACATGTATACGCTTCTTCTGTTTGACTTTTTCTAGTGTTATCAGTCCTTGAGCAGCTCAAACTTCCCACACTTTACCTATAGAAATAGAGGTCTGTTACTGGGTTACAGAAAACTCGCTTATTGTGTTTCCAGAAGCAGTTCTCCTGTGGCCACTGGGCATGGCAACATGTTGGTACTTCCACAGCACACAATAATTGTCACGGTTTGCATGTTGAGAAGCAAACTTACAGTGTCACTGTCTGCTTGAACTTGCCCACAGCGTGTTCTCATGTGATGTAGATTGAAATGAAGCCACCTTGGGATGCCTGTGCCTAGAGAGAGCAGCTCCAGTGAGAGAGGACAAGATTGCTGGGTTGCTGTTTTGAAAGCAAAATTTTGCTAAATTTTTTGCTTAAATTTTTGCTCTATTTTGATAAATGACCTGACTGAGAATGGCTGTCTGCTCATACACAGAGCATTTAGTCATGTGGCATGAAGCAGCATATCTAGAGATTAAGGTGTGTGGTTTTGCAGTGCCTAAATAAGTCACAAATTAGATATTCTGTGTGGCTGCTCGCCCCTTGTGTGCAGCACTCCAAGTGATTACTGCTCTCCTCTTGGTCTAATCAAAGATCCTCAGCTCAGAGCAGGTTTCTAATTGAAACACTTGAGCACAACATATCTCACTAAATTAAATAACCTTTACCCAGACAAATCACTGTGTAGTTTTGAGTCTCATACACAACAGATTTTTGCGCCTACCCTATGTATTACTTTTTTTTTTTTCCCCTTCCTATCTTTGTAAACAGCTTCTCCTGAAAGGTAAATACTAATAACCTGGACTCTGCAATATTGCATCTTCACACAGCTCCTTTCAAGATACCTACTAAAAATTATAGCAAGGCCTTTAACTTTAGATGAGATGCTTGGACACAATTTTGCTGGGAGGGAGGCTGCCCCTTGTCCTCCCTGTGGTTAAAGTGAATTAACTTAGCATGCTCTAACTTAGCTTGGGCTCTAACTCACATCTAAGGATGGCTTTGAAGGGCTTGTGGGCTTTCTTCCTCCCTCTGTCAGGGGCAGGGACATCTCAATCTGTTGCTGAGCTGCTGCAGCACGCAGCTGAGCATGTAAAAGCATGGCAAGCTGGCTGGATTTGCTGAGCTGGGGCTGCAGCCCCAGTAAATCAGAGCTGGCTGTGCATGCATGCAAGCATTTAAAGTCACAAAAGCAAGCTTGTGGCTTGTGCTTGAAGATACGCAGCCATGCTCTCATGCTGCCTTGAGTCTGCTTGTGTTTTAACGCTGCAGCCAGAAGACAGGCTTTATAGGTGGAGGTCAGTGGTTAAAGAGCTTATCCTAAAAGGATAGTAAAGCAGATCTCTATATGCAGGAAAATATTCAAATATAAGGCTGGAAAAGGTGCATAAAATTGTGTCTCAAAAGAGATTCTCTTTGTGAGGTTATAGGAGGTGGGACCTTGTGTGGAAGGGGTCAGCCCCGTTCTCCCTCTTTAAGAGCTCAGCTGTTTGTTGTCTTGGGAAGAGCTGCTGATTTCTCTCTTTCTCTCTTGGTTCCTGTATAAAGGTGAAACAAAGTGGTGTGTGGCCAAGGCAGTCCCAGAGAACAACCTGCCCAACCCGCGTTTCCTCCCTCTAATAGAGCAGAGGGAGCTGGACTCTCTGCCCCTGCCTTGCCACCGTGGCCATTTGCCGTGCTCGCTGGCCCAGCTGGATGTATCTGGGCAGAAAGGGCTCAGCAGTGCTGTCTGTGCTCCTCTGTGCAAGGAACAATAATGCTCTGGATAGCAGCAGCACTATTTTTTTGGCCAGGCTTTCCCCAGAATCATGACAGCAGCACCACGGGCTGGAGGAGAAGTGCCATCCATCAGTAACGCGGTGGCAGCTATTGATGGGAGCTGACATGGCCAGGTGATAAGCTGCAAATTAGATCTCTTTCTCAATAAGCAGTCATTTACAAGGCACTTTTGTATCTTCTTTTTTTTTTTTTTTTTTTAAAGTGTGATCAACAGCTCATCACTTATGGATGGGTATCCTCCAGACAAGGGACTGCTCACAGACAGTTCACTGGAATTGTTCCTGCTTTCTGGTTTTGATCTAAACCATCCGCTGATGAATTAGAAATATTTTTTAAGGACAAGAGGATGGTCGATGCCATATTTCTGGTGTAAACTTTAAATAGGGAGGCATGTGTTAAAACTCATGGACAATTTGTGAGCATCTCTCAGACATGCCAATCTTTCCTTGGCATCCGAATCATCCTTAATAATGAATAAAGCTGCTGATATCCCCAAACAAATGTGAGCCTGGAGTTTGCCAAGCGAACAGATGCTGAGTTGCATCCCATTGTATGGTTAAAATCCCCAGAAAAGGTTTCTTAGAAAAACTACTAGCCACATAAAATTGTTCTTGGGGTGAACGTAAAGGGGACATGCAAGTATTCCCAATATACTTTGCAATGGTATAAATCAAATTAAAAATCTGCTGTAACAGCTGATCATCTCTGGAAAATGGCATCAAAAGGAAATGACTGGTCATCTTTGTGCTGGCTTGTTCATGGCTGCCTTGCAAGCTTTTTTTGGTCAGTCTGCATCCCGGTATTGCCCCCAGTTCATACAGAAGCGTGTTAGCTCATGGGCAGAGCTTGCTGCGTGCCAAGGTGTGCTGAAGTGTCACCCCTGAAATCCAACCAGGCTGCCTGGGGCTCTGAGTGTGCACCCTGTGTCACAGAAGGACGGGTCTGTATTTCTTCCTTAAAGCAAAGTGTAAAAGAAGTGGCAAGCACCTCTGGGGTAGTGATCAGGGCTGCTTTTGCCTGGCTGTGATTCACCCCTGCTACTTCTGAGGATCTGCACTGCACCCGACAAAAGCTGTGCATTTTTTAATCATGATAACCTAAATGAAATTAATGCAGTTAATAGGCTCGTTATCTACTCCTTTTAATAAACTCGGCTTTCTAAATGGCACGACGGACCCCACTGTGTCAGACGTGGTGGAAGTTTACCCACAAGATGTGACCAATAGCCCCTCAAGCAGATGTGAGAGGGTCTGCTAATTACAGCTCTGATGGAACTGCTGAAATGTAGGGGTTTTGTTTCTTTTCTCAACCTGATGCACGGGCTGCAGAGCATTGCTGTGTCACGATGTTGAAATGCAATTGTATTCCCCCACATGTGGAAATCCCTGTGTCTTGGCTCCTCCTGGAGCTCTGGAAGCTCTCCCTTCTGACTGCAGGGAGAAAGCAGAGCCTGGGGAGCCTTCCTCTGCACCTCGCAGCCCCTGCCAGCTGGATGACAGATGTTGTCACCTTGATGTTCAGCTGCAGAACTTGATGGTTTTGTGGGTGGGGGGGAAAGCTTTTTATTCACATTGATTTGTTTGCTGTGTTTTAAAGGACTGCTGTAGTTCAGTGTCTCCTAAAAGATGAAATACTGCTCGTGGTGCATCCTAATACCCAACCCTTATGCTTGTTTCCGTAGGGTACTGTTTGCTCAGGAAAATGGGATAGTAAAACGACAGACTGTGCTTGAGTGAGCTATTAGGAGAGTGGAGCTGTATCAGAAAAGTTGTATGGGGATGTGGGAGACTGACGGCAAACAAGTCTCTGGTTGTTCATAGGAACTTCTTCATCCGAGATTAATGACAGGAGGTTACTGGCATCTTGCTCCGTACCCTTTTTTGGCTCTGGGACACTTGCCAAAGTTTAGACTCCAGCTCTGAGTGTTGACAGGCGGAGAGATCGCTTCAAAATGTGTTATGGACATAATTAGTTACTGTTATCACAGTTTTCTTAATTAGAATATCATAAAAAGGGGAAGTGTGATGATTTACATGGGGAAGATCAGGAGAGCAGCGATTCTAAAGGCCAGAGACTGAATGTCAGATAGCAGCAGAAAGGTTATCTGCCTTTTGGATGAGCGATGGTGCTCACCTGGGATGTGCAGAGGGATGCCTGGAGGTGCTCTCGCTGGGCACTCAACTTTTTTTTTTCCCTACTTTCCACTAACTCAGCCAAATTGTGCAAGCCTTTGTTCAGCAATCGCCCATCCATCTCCTGTAGAATGGCTCACCCCTGCCAGGATCCTCTGCAGTGCTGATAACTTGTAAACGGTAAAAGAAAGCTTAATTTTACAAAGGCAGCAGCTTCTTTCATAAGCTACATTTCCTTCCTGCTGCTTCTAGACAAGAGAACGTAAGACATCCAAGTTATTTATTTTTATAATTACGGGGAGGAACTAGAAACTTGTTCAGAACAAGACAGGAAGCAAACTGAAGAAACTCGGTTATTTTACTGATACCTTCCTTGGCAGCAATACTTAGAGCCCTGGCAGATCCTGTGCCTCCCCTCCCAGATCCCTCCTGGGAGGCCACACGTGTGCCAAAATCCTGTGCTCCCAGTGTGTCCCCTAAACTTGGGGAGCCTGCAGCAATGCCAGGGCACCTTGCCTACTCAAGGGTGGATCATGAACTCCTCTGTGCACCTTTCAGAGAGCCGTGGCACTGGGATGCACAGGGGCTAATTAACCCTTCCCTCCCCTTCTTCCCTTGACAGATTCTGGTGAGACTGAACTTCAGGTGCTTAAAATTCAGCGCGACTCTCCTCCCACCCATCCCATGAAGTAGTGACTGAATCATAGTTCTCCTGAAGGCAGAAGCTATGTTTTTTCTGACTGGCTTTTCCTGTGCATGCGACTGCACCAACTCGCTCCTTTATATGCTCGGCTCCTCCGCCCCCTCAGTGAGCACTCACACACTTGTTGCTCTGACAAGTTATGATTGCAGGAGCCAGGAAGTGTTTGTACCCATCAGGGACAACCAAAACCACTGCTACAAATGCAAAGAATTGGGATTTTGGCTCTAAGCTCATCCCAGGGAAACGTCCCCATTTGCCCTGGGATGTGTGTGGGATGCTGCAGCAGCACCCTGTGCGCTGAGCTCCCAGCTGTGGTGCTGGCATCGCCTCACAGCAGCCCACGGGCGATAAGAAGGCACGGGAAAGGAGCCTGGCCTCATACACGGGTTGCTTTCCTCTGCCACTGTGCTGTTTCTTCTGCTCGGGAAGAATGGAAACGCAGCGCGGGTTAGCAACGCACCAAGCCCCTCACGTTTGTGCGAGGGGCCTGCAATTTTCGCATTTAACACTCCGTTAGAGCTAATGGAAAGCTGATATTTTTCTGTAGGTGTGAAATTAACCTTTCAATAAAACTAAGAGCTATCTCAAGCATTTTTTCCGAGCTGAAGTTTAAAATAGAGCAATTATGAAACTTGCTGAAAGACTGCCAAGTTTTCTTGTTGAAAACTGCTGCAAATGAATTATGTTTCCCTTGTGATTCACAGCATAGTGTGAGGCAACTTGAGTTTGTATTTAAATCTGCTTCCGCTGAAGACTATTTACAGCTTAAAGAAATCTAATTTTTTGGACAAAGTTGTCAGACTCCATCAAATAAAATGGGCTGCAATGTCTGATACTAAATTGATTTTAAAAAGTCATTAAAAAAGACATTGTTTTTATGAATGCCACATGTAGTAACTATATGCCTGTACAACAGAAGAATGTCTTTGAGCAAGAATGGCTGATGCTGAGCAGAGCGGCTCCTGTCCTTGTGGAGCCTGTTGCAAGCAACATGGAGAGGAGTGGAGGCTTTTTTTTCCTTAAATCCTAGCAAAGGGCAGTTACTGGGCCAGCCCCTTATCCTCAATGCCGTGGTCCATTATTCCCATTTAGGTTAAAAAATAAATAAATGCATATTTTTATTTTTTAAAAAAAGGAGAAGCTAAAGCACATACAGGGTTTCGCACTCATAGCCTCTGTGTAGAGGCCAAAGTATGCCAATGGGATTGCCATGGGGCACTGGAAAACTAATAGAGCTCTCATCCTTTCTGGAAATTCAGAGGGCTTTGCATCCTTCTCCTAAAAACAAAGGGTTAAACATTGCAGCTCGCTGCTCTTTTACCCAGTGCCATTCACTCTGGGCTGCAAGGAAGAAATTCCTGGGAAAATGGAAAATGTCAGCTCTGGTCTGTGGCAGTGCCACAGCTGTGGTGTCTCGAGTGAGCTGAGAGCTGCTTCGCTGGCCAGTTTGCTGGGAAAGGGATTGAACTTTGTGAAATTTGGCTTGCAGGATGTGAAAATAAAATGGGTCTGTAGAACGGATTTTAAATAAGGATTTAACATTTGAAATGTTTCTGTGCGGAAAGGCCTTGTTTGTGTCACCGTATACAAATATCTTCCTTTTGTGTGTACTGACACCTGCAGCTTGAGTTGGAGCCCCATAAACCAACTCCTCGTGACCTTGAGAGCCTGACAAAGTGATCCTTGCTGGTGCTTGGGGGTTATGGAAAATCCACGTGCCTAGAATCATAAATTCCATGTAATGGCAAGGTAATTCTTTGAGGTATTCATATCTGAGGTTAAAAGAGCATTTACCGATTTATTTTTCTAATTGCTTTCCAAAAATAATCCAGAGGAGGAAACAATCTCCTGCCTAAAGCAGCCCCAGCACTCAGAGGCAGCAGCAGCAGGTCTGAGGGCAGGTGACAAGGCAGCGCCTGGAGGCTCTGCTGCAACTTTTTGCTGGGTTCTGGCACAGAAACTGGGCAGGCTACCTCCTGAGGGTGGAGATGAAGCTTACAATCCAGAGCTTAGAGCCTTGCTGCTCTTGGGACCCTGGCTGCTGCCCATTGTGCTTTCCCCACTGCCCAGGGACCCTGTCCCTGCAGAGGCAAGGCAGGGTCTGCTGTGACCCCATTCACAAAATCAAGGTATTTTGCCACTCACTATAGCTTAAATAATTACAGGTGTGACTGCTGCAGCTCACACACCACACAACTCTACTTTTATGGGAACATCGTGGTTTATCAGTGCATTGTGACCCAAATCCCATCCGCCTCGCCTCCGGTTTGGGCCAGGCTGGGGCACCACTATGAGCAGAGCAGGTTGGGATGAACAAGGCATGTAGGGCTGGGTTTTGGCTCCCAGATGGTGCTCCCAGCCTTGGTCTTGCTGAAGGACTTTCCTGTGCTCCGTGGGCTGCTCTTTGGTGCAGAGTGAGGTGTGTCTGGGGACCTGTCCTGGTAGAGAAATGTCAGCTCAGCAACAACTGAATTATTTGCAATCACCTCTGTGCCTGTGTATCTAATTAAAAAGAAACCATTAACATGTCAAAGTAACTGATATTCTAGCAATCTCCATAATTATCCTCTGGAAATGTCTGTCAGCTGTACCGGGTTCATATATTGCCATCCACCCTAATGGGAGGTGTGCTTGTGTAATGGGCTTGGTGCTAGCAGCTTGAGCAAGGTGAAGATGATTTACTTCGCTGGAGACCTGTTTTGATAAATGTAATAGCTAGTAGATAATTGATTTCTTGGTAAAATTCAGCTGAGTGTGTCATGATTCTTGAAAAATACAGCCAAGTGGCTTCTAAAAGTGATGAATAATGTTTCTGATCTCGTTTATGTCAGCCTTGCATCAGTGTAGCTGCAAGATCTGGAGGGCGAAGGCTCAGCACCAAAGTCAGCATTGATTTAAAGGATGCTGAAAGGAGGTCTGTTGTCCCACAGCCATCTGCACAGCCCCATGATGGGAACAGGCTCCCGAAGAAGCAGAGGACCTGGTGCACTGCTGATGGTGTTTGGAGACTCTCTGGAGTGAACCAACCACCCAGCACTGCTCCTGAGCATGAGAAACAAATCCTTACATGAGCAGAAAAAAGGACTTTTGTTGTTGTGGACGGTGTGTGAAGTCAGAGTAAATCACAGTGCAGAATTAAAAGCCACAGAGCAATGCTCACCCTGGGGGAGAGCAGTGGGCACGCAGGGAAGTCCAGGTTTTACAGCCAGAATATTGTTCTACAGGAGCCAAACCTCATAGTTGAGATTTTCTATGTACTTTTACCACAAAGAAATTCACTAGAGGTTTTAAAGGATAGAAGTATGGAAGTTCCTTTATATCATAAAGGGAAAAAAGGTGTGATTTCCCCTCACGCTCATGTTCTGCTAGAGCTGGAACAGCAGGAGCTCTCTTCTCCATAGGTGTTCACACGGGAGGGTCCTGACCCAATGGATAATTCTGGGAAATTACCTTGTCTCCTGTCTGAAATCACTTAACTGCAATAATAGTAAGTTGTCAAAAAGCTGTAACATGTTGATTTTTATTTTTTTTGCCAAAGATATTTTTGTAGAATGAGCTATGCCTCGACTTGTGCTAGAAACAGCAGCAAGAGCTCATCAGAAAATCCCCATTATAATATTGAAAGTGTGACCATGCTGATGATAGCAGAAGCCGTGGGTTTGAGCCCATCCTGGCTTATGGAGTGTTGTCAGTGCCAGGGGTAGTTTTGGGCTGTCATTTATTAAGGGGGAACTCTCAGCTGTCTTGTCTACGATTCTTTTCTTGCAGCTTGATCATAATCACCAAATTAGCTCAAATTAGTTGCTAATTTTTTATGTAGCCACTTTGTCTGAACAGTTTTCTATTGTAAGATGCAAGAGGGAAATATTTGTGCTGGGTTTCTGAAAGGATTAGGTTCTTGTACAGCTATTAATCTTGGAAGCTGATCAAAAGAAAATTGCATTTCTTATTTCAGTGTATAACACTGTTCCTTATGTAGTTAATAGCACCAGGGGCCTCGTGTTCATGGAAACCTCCAAACTTTTTAGCTGTCAGGTGCCAAGCAAGTAAGATGTTCTCCAGTACACCACCTCTCCCCAAGGTCCTTCAAAATTTCTGTTTAAATAAGAAAATTAATTTTACTCAATAATGCACAGTTGAGGGATTTCTACCAGCTCTCATTTTAGTCAAATAAATTAGCAGAGCTCTCTCTACATTGGATAAAAGAGATTTCTCTGGTAGTGAGTTACCTGCTGGTGCCAAATCCTTCTGGTTCTGAGTTACTTGAGTGTCATTGGTGGGGCCTGGTGGGGTTGTGCTGTCTGGGGGGATGCTGAGCTGCAGAGAGGGCGAGTGGCTGCTGCAAGGTGCTTCAGACCTGTCACGTGCATTATTTGTCATCATTATTTCCTGTTCTCACCACCAGACCCTGATTATGACCTCATGTGAAAGAGAAAAATTCTGCCCGATTAAATTAAGTCTCCACAAAGTGGAGTAGAGGGTGTGCAGCGTCGGAGTTTCTAAATCTGCCACCAGAACAGGGGCAAAAGCACAATATCCATAGAGCTCCCCAGGAGGCTGCTTGGGGAATTTCACAGAGCTTCCAGAGGCAGGATAACTCATTAGGAAAAAAAATGCCTGTTAAAAACAGATCAAAAAAAAAGAATAGATTTCTCTACTTAACAAGGCCAGGCAATATTAATATGCAAGTGCAGGGAAATGGCTAATGAATAGGATTCATCCTTATGAAGGCAATCTATAACCTCTCTGAGTGCTACAAGTGGTGGGGAAGTCACTGCTGAAGTGACTGGAATTAATGAGCCGTCACAAGAATTTTATCAAGTTTTATAGAAAAGTCTTTCACTTGCTCCCGAGGAGATGGATATATTCAGCGAGAGGCGGAGAAAAAATTCCTTTGTATCTGCTTAAAGGTTGAGTGATCATGAAGGCTATAAAACCCATGAGCTTAGGAAGCTCTTGATGCTGAATTTTTATGGGAGCTTTGAACGGCATCAGTCCCATTAGTAAAGAAATACATTTAACCTCTTCAATCTGCTGGTTTACCTCCTACGGCTCCGATCCGTCAGGATTCCTCAGCGCATGAGTGCGTTCAGAATGCGAGCGGTGGCATGAATAGGCTGGACGGGGCGTGGGCTTTGATGGAGGTTTTTAATAAAGACACTCGTCTGCAGCTTGCACAGAACTGTTATTGCTTAACGTTTTCCCAGGGCCAGGCAGATTGAAGCAGCCTGCTTTACTCTGATTAGCAATCGTAATAGTGTTAGAGGAAAACAAAAGCTTTAAGGTCTAACGTGCTGTGTCGGTGACCAGGTGGCAGGTCAGGCTGCCTCAGTTCTCTGCCAGGTATATTAGGGTGGAGGAGAAGTGAAACCCCACTCTTTCTGTAGCTATAAGCTGAAGCTCACAGTTGCCATGCCAGGTAGTCACCATCTATGTGTGCTACCTTACATGAACTGGAGGGTAAACATTTATACCAGAGTGGCTGTGCTATCAAGGACAACTTATTCACATGCCTCTTTCATAAAAATACATGTCCTCTTGGATCAGAGCTCACGGGAAGTGCTCGAGTGTACATTCATCTCCTTCTTTGCTGCTGAGTCT